CGAAAAAAAAAGAATTTAAATTTAAAAAAAAAAAAATTCAAAAGTAAATGTATTTCTATAAATTGAAAAGTCCAATGAATAATTCTAGAAATTCTTTTTTTCCTTTTTTGAAATTTAAATTTTTAGAAATTAGGATCGTGAAAGACGAAATATTTAAATTATTATATCCAAAACTAACAAATTCCTCTTATCTAATTCCTAAATCTAATTTACATTTACAAAATTCATCTCACACTTGATGATTCAATTTCCGAATATTTTTACATTTATAATTCAGCTATGTCTCATACTAATCTATTTCCTCCTTTCACACACTAAAACTAATCTTGTTAAATATAAGATGTGATAAAACTAGTTAACACCTGCAAAATTGTTTAGGGAAATCATTACTTTGTTAACAATCTTGTTTTTTCATCCATAGAAATTCTTCCATCTAATTTCTATTCGTTAAATCAGTCTTATATATATACCAACCAATCCTTCTATAACCATCATTTGCTTTATGTTTTGGGTGGTATTGGGATGCGTCTAATACTTTATAATTTTGTATTATTTCACCATTTTTATATTATTGCATTTTATATAGTTTACGCGTTTGTTAATCGGTGTAGCATCCGTACGATATGTATAAAGCGCTATTATTTGCTTCATGTTAAATAAAGGTTTAATTACCCAAGTTTGAGGTTTCACGACAAAAATAATTTTTGGTGCCCGAGGTGAAGTAAGGTATGCCGACCAGTATAATTGTTCAAGCTACACCAGTAAAAGCGAATCTCGAGGGAATCCTCGATGAAATACGACAATTGGATCTAACTCCGTTAGACCAAAAAGCGACAGTAGAAGTATTGTGCCAGCAATACGAAGCAAGGGCAAGGATCATTAAAGAAAAGTTGATGCGCCTCGAAAAATACGTTGGCACTCTTGAGAAGATCAACGACAAATGGTTGGAACACATTCAACTAGCCCCAATGTCGCAAAAGAAAAAAGAAGAAGAAAAATACGAACAAATGGCAAACAACGATAGAGGTATTTTAAAATTAATTAACATAAGTACGGATACCATTATAACCTTATCTATGTACAAGGATGATACAGAGTTAGCCCTTAAACGTCTAGCACAAATTAAAGAACCTAGCTTAACTGAATGTCGTCCAGTAGTAAATTTACCACAATTGTCGTTACCAACGTTTAGTGGAGACCCTAAAACATGGAGAGAATTCTGGAGTAGTTTCGAAGCCTCCTTACACTCTCAAAACATACCAGATATCCAAAAATTAAATTACTTGGTTTCTTGCTTAAGAGGAAACGCCCTACAGCTAGTAAGAGGTTACGATAGGGCACCTGAAAACTATAGAATTATAAGAGAATTATTAGTGGAAAAATTTGGTCGTGTTTCCACTATAAGAAAATTACTTTACAATGAACTCATATCTACAAAACGAAACGACCGAGACTGGAAAACAATAATCGAAGAAATGGAGAGAGTTCTAAGGCAGTTAGAAGCAATTGGCGAAAACGTAGAGCAACCTACCATCGAAACGATAATAGAATCCGAATTGCCAAACTGGATATTAAACCAGGTTTATCAACAAAAAGAAGAAGATGGCCAGTGGTCCGTAACAAAACTTCGACAGCTTCTCAGGAAGACAATTAATAGAAACGACCAGGTAATGGAATGGCAATACTTGGATAACGTCAGTCGTAAAAATTTAATTAAACGTCATCCTAACGCAAGCATTCCAGAAAATTCAGCATTGATTGCAATAAAACAATCAAAGCAAATCAGAGGAACGGCTTCAGCCGAAAAGAACCAGCTAAATCAAGAGAATCCAAATTGGTCGACAAATAAGAAAAAGAGACCCTGTATCTTCTGCAATAACAATCACTGGGATAGCAAGTGTCACATATATTCTACAGTGGAGCAGCGAATTGATCGATTGAAGGAAATCAGTGTTTGCTCTAATTGTTTTAAGTCTGGACACAACGAACTCAACTGCATAAAAAGAGCAAGTTGTTTTTATTGCAAAAAATCCCACAATAGCGCCCTTTGTACCACTAAGACTCGTGATTCTGGGAAGATTGTTGCCAAAAATGCAAACATATCTGTTAATTCAACTAAGAAAGTTGAAAAGAAACGAGTACTGCTTTTATGAAGAGAAATTAATGTCTTTATTCATTATTCATTACCTGCCACATCATGATGTTCGTAATCCAGGTAAAACTACCACTAAGTTAAGGATTGTTTATGATGCTTCAGCGCACATAACCCTTTATGAATGAAAAGTTTAAATGAAGTATTATATCGTGGATCAATTAACCTCCCAGATCTTGTGGATCTTGTGGGAGTATTATTACGCTTTAGAATGATGAAAGGGGTAATCACAGCTGACATTGAAAAGGCATTCTTACAAATACAGTTACACCCTTCAGAGAGAAATGGTACTCGCTTCCTTTGGCTAAAGGAAGTAGAAGGAAGTGTATCCAACGAGAATATAAAATGTTACCGTTTTAGAAGAATCCCGTTTGGAGTAATATCATCCCCCTTTTTACTATCTGCTACCCTGAATTATCATTTGGAAAACCACGTTAGTGAATTAGCCGCAGAAATAAAGAAAAACCTTTATGTGGACAACATTATTGTGTCATCAAACGGAACGCAGGAGGCATTAGAAAAATATGTGGAAATGAAATCCATCTTCAATGAAGCCTCAGTGAATCTAAGGGAGTTCTTATCTAACGACGAAGAATTTTATGCAGAACTGCCGCAGCAAGATCAAGCAATAAGAAAAAATACGAAAATCCTCGGCATCTCATGAAATCCCTGTCAAGACGTCATTCAGATAAAATTAAATCCATGGAATGACCGAGAACTAACAAAAAGAACGATCTTACAGTTTGTTGCATCACAATATGATCCACTAGGATTTTTAGTTCCAATAATGGTAAGATTTAAAAATTTTTGCAAAATTTATGGAAAAAGAATAATTCGTGGGATCAGATATTAGATGAGCAAGACCATAAGCAATGGAAATTTCTTATTGCTGAATGGGCAACGGTCGTAAAAGACTTACCGCGATTTGTAACAACTTCTACAGATTTAATTGGAATACATGTATTTACTGATGCTTCAAGCGTAGCATATTCAGCAGCAGTGTATTTAGTGAGTCAGGATATGCAAGAAACAAAGTCATCGCTCATTTTTGCAAAATCTCGCATTGCTCCTATTAAAGGTATGACAATACCGCGTCTAGAGCTAATGGCCATACTAATCGGAACGCGAGCAGCGCAATTTGTCATGACACAGCTGGATATCGTCAATACAAGGATAATTTTATGGTCGGATTCTAAATGTGCTTTACATTGGATAAAAAACCATTCTAACCTATTACCAAGATTACTATTACCAAGAATATTATTTACATGCTTTACAACAAGAGCCATACATCTCGAATTAGCAGAAGACCAATCCGCAGAAACCTTTTTGCATGCTATCCGAAGATTTGTTGCGAGACGAGGGTGTCCTGAGCTAATTCTGAGTGACAATGCCACTCAATTCCAGGCTTTCAGATCTCTTATGACACAAGTCAAAGTCTCCAACTTCTTAGCAAAGGGAGGAATGACTTGGAAAAATATTATACCAAAGGCTCCGTGGCAAGGAGGAATCTACGAGAGATTAATTGGGTTAACGAAAAATGCGCTAAGAAGAGCCATTGGCAGAAAATTCCTAGCGGAAAGGGAATTGGTAACATTAATTGCAGAAGTTGAAGGTATACTTAATACCCGACCACTAACGCCAATTTTGACGATTGCGTCATTATACGTCCAATTGATTTTATCATGCCTAACGCTTCGCTCCATCTACCTATAAATGAAGTTTATAGGAGGCAGGAAGAAATCACCCCTTATAGACTAGATACCAGAGAAAAACTCGTGAGACACTGGGAAAGTACCCTTAAAACTCTCAATGTTTTTTGGGAAATCTGGAGAACCGAATATTTAACTAGCCTCAGAGAACGCACGCAAAGGGAAATTACCTCATCCAAAGGAGCACAAAAAAGAACTCCAAAAAAGGGAGAGATTGTACTCTTAAATGAATCGGGAATTCCAAGAGGAATGTGGAAATTATTACGGATCAAGGACATCAAAATCGATAAAGACGGTAAAGTTAGGAACGTTCAGGTGGAAACTCCCACTGGGAAACTTCTCGATCGTCCAATAAATGTCTTGTATCCTCTCGAAGTTAATGATGAAGAAATTCATCTTGAACCTAATAAGAAAGAAAATATGAAAATTCCGGATACCAGTGAAGGCAAAAAAAGAATGCCAATGGAAAACAGGAATACCGTTCAATATTCCAGAGAAATGGAACTGTGAAGAAATCACGGCACAGAACTCAAGTGTTCCTTCAAGTTCTTCTGTTAATTCTTCTCCACGTTGGCCGAGTTCATTCCAAATTTCGGATGTTTCTTGCTGTTCGAAAACAGGATTTATCATTTGTTGATTTTGTGCTAATATCTCTAATGCTGCATTGATTCTATCGATTTCAAATTTACTTATCAATCCGCTTCTAAATTCAATAATTTTTATATTAAGGGAATCGGACTTGCACGGGGCGATCAATAATTTTCCTTTGATTCTTTTAGCGATCACATCATCCCTTTGCAATATAGCGAAGGTAGGATTATCCAGCGATAACCATTCGATTAATAATAACAGATTATTTCGATTTTCACAAGTTCGCTGTTCTACTAGTTTTAATTGTTGCTGGAACTCTTGTTGCAAACTATCGAATAAGTATTGAAATTTTGTATTTTCGGGATCACTATCGTCTCCTCTTTGTGTTTCCATCATCATTAGCTTACCTCTAGGTGAAGCGAGAATTTGTATTCCTTCTGTTTCTATTGTTAGCGATCCTCGTTACAATGTCAATAACAGTGTCAGCATCTATTAAGTTGGGATTAGAAAATTTGCAGTTTTCGCTTCTAAATGTTTTATTATCTTTACTGAAGACGAATGGTAACATGATTTTCGTAAAATTGAGCATTAAAATTTCCCACCTTACGATATCGACACTTCTTCGTTATTTGTTGAATATCCCATAGAACGATACTATTGTTTGTGATACATTTTCCGTCTTGTGTAATACAATTTTCCGCAGTTTCGAAATCCGATACAGACCCATTTCCATCGTAAAGGAATATTTCTCCTTCTGTTAATACTAAATTTGTAGTGGATTGGCATCTAACACCCAGCCATCCGTAGTAATGTACTTGGTTGGTTGTTGTCCACTTATTATGGAAAATTTGGGTTAATTTACTTCCATTGATCTGTCTTTGATCGTGTAAATCTCTACAGGTTTCTGATGATGGTGCGGTGGTAGTTGTTTGGTCCGAAATTACTGATAATGAAAACCACAGAAATGCTTTAGTACACACAGTTCGGGTGATATTATTACACTTGATCGCAGGGAGTGTGATAGGACTGCGAGTGTAAACATTAACCTGAAGTAGACTGGAGTTCTGTGCCGTGATTTCTTCACAGTTCCATTTCTCTGGAATATTGAACGGTATTCCTGTTTTCCATTGGCATTCTTTTTTTGCCTTCACTGGTATCATTAAGGTATAAAGCATAGATGATACTCATACTCAGATTACAATTCTGTTATACTCAGATTGTAATTCAGTTATACTCATACTCAGATTATAATTCGGTTATACTCAGATTATAATTCGGTTTCACTCATACTCAGATTATAACTCAGTTATACTCAGATTATAATTCAGTTACACTCAGATTATAATTCAGCTATACACAGATTATAATTCAGTTATACTTAGACTATAAATCAGTTATACTCAGATTATAATTCAGTTATACCCAGATTATATTCAGTTACACTCAGATTATAATTCAGTTATACACAGATTATAATTCAGTTATACACAGATTATGATTCAGTTATACTCAGAATATAAATCAGTTTTACTCAGATTATAATTCAGTTATACTCAGATTATAATTCAGTTACACTCAGATTATAATTCAGTTATACTCAGATTATAATTCAGTTATACACAGATTATAATTCAGTTATACTCAGATTATAATTCAGTTATACTCATACTCAGATTATAATTCAATTACACTCAGATTATAATTCAGATTATAATTTTTTTAATTACTGATAAAAGTGATTAAGTTACTGATTAAATTACAGATTATAATTACTGATAAAAGTGAGACCATTAAGTTACTCTTACTGACCTCCTTTAATCGAGATTGTCGTTTTGTATTGCTCCTAGTTCGCATCGCAATAGGTTCCTGGAGCTCCTCAGTGTTCTGTTCGGTTTCCGGAATTTTCATATTTTCTTTCTTATTAGGTTCAAGATGAATTTCTTCATCATTAACTTCGAGAGGATACAAGACATTTATTGGACGATCGAGAAGTTTCCCAGTGGGAGTTTCCACCTGAACGTTCCTAACTTTACCGTCTTTATCGATTTTGATGTCCTTGATCCGTAATAATTTCCACATTCCTCTTGGAATTCCCGATTCATTTAAGAGTACAATCTCTCCCTTTTTTGGAGTTCTTTTTTGTGCTCCTTTGGATGAGGTAATTTCCCTTTGCGTGCGTTCTCTGAGGCTAGTTAAATATTCGGTTCTCCAGATTTCCCAAAAAACATTGAGAGTTTTAAGGGTACTTTCCCAGTGTCTCACGAGTTTTTCTCTGGTATCTAGTCTATAAGGGGTGATTTCTTCCTGCCTCCTATAAACTTCATTTATAGGTAGATGGAGCGAAGCGTTAGGCATGATAAAATCAATTGGACGTATAATGACGCAATCGTCAAAATTGGCGTTAGTGGTCGGGTATTAAGTATACCTTCAACTTCTGCAATTAATGTTACCAATTCCCTTTCCGCTAGGAATTTTCTGCCAATGGCTCTTCTTAGCGCATTTTTCGTTAACCCAATTAATCTCTCGTAGATTCCTCCTTGCCACGGAGCCTTTGGTATAATATTTTTCCAAGTCATTCCTCCCTTTGCTAAGAAGTTGGAGACTTTGACTTGTGTCATAAGAGATCTGAAAGCCTGGAATTGAGTGGCATTGTCACTCAGAATTAGCTCAGGACACCCTCGTCTCGCAACAAATCTTCGGATAGCATGCAAAAAGGTTTCTGCGGATTGGTCTTCTGCTAATTCGAGATGTATGGCTCTTGTTGTAAAGCATGTAAATAATATTCTTGGTAATAGTAATCTTGGTAATAGGTTAGAATGGTTTTTTATCCAATGTAAAGCACATTTAGAATCCGACCATAAAATTATCCTTGTATTGACGATATCCAGCTGTGTCATGACAAATTGCGCTGCTCGCGTTCCGATTAGTATGGCCATTAGCTCTAGACGCGGTATTGTCATACCTTTAATAGGAGCAATGCGAGATTTTGCAAAAATGAGCGATGACTTTGTTTCTTGCATATCCTGACTCACTAAATACACTGCTGCTGAATATGCTACGCTTGAAGCATCAGTAAATACATGTATTCCAATTAAATCTGTAGAAGTTGTTACAAATCGCGGTAAGTCTTTTACGACCGTTGCCCATTCAGCAATAAGAAATTTCCATTGCTTATGGTCTTGCTCATCTAATATCTGATCCCACGAATTATTCTTTTTCCATAAATTTTGCAAAAATTTTTAAATCTTACCATTATTGGAACTAAAAATCCTAGTGGATCATATTGTGATGCAACAAACTGTAAGATCGTTCTTTTTGTTAGTTCTCGGTCATTCCATGGATTTAATTTTATCTGAATGACGTCTTGACAGGGATTTCATGAGATGCCGAGGATTTTCGTATTTTTTCTTATTGCTTGATCTTGCTGCGGCAGTTCTGCATAAAATTCTTCGTCGTTAGATAAGAACTCCCTTAGATTCACTGAGGCTTCATTGAAGATGGATTTCATTTCCACATATTTTTCTAATGCCTCCTGCGTTCCGTTTGATGACACAATAATGTTGTCCACATAAAGGTTTTTCTTTATTTCTGCGGCTAATTCACTAGCGTGGTTTTCCAAATGATAATTCAGGGTAGCAGATAGTAAAAAGGGGGATGATATTACTCCAAACGGGATTCTTCTAAAACGGTAACATTTTATATTCTCGTTGGATACACTTCCTTCTACTTCCTTTAGCCAAAGGAAGCGAGTACCATTTCTCTCTGAAGGGTGTAACTGTATTTGTAAGAATGCCTTTTCAATGTCAGCTGTGATTACCCCTTTCATCATTCTAAAGCGTAATAATACTCCCACAAGATCCACAAGATCTGGGAGGTTAATTGATCCACGATATAATACTTCATTTAAACTTTTCATTCATAAAGGGTTATGTGCGCTGAAGCATCATAAACAATCCTTAACTTAGTGGTAGTTTTACCTGGATTACGAACATCATGATGTGGCAGGTAATGAATAATTCCATCTTGATTCATTTGTGATTGTACTTCTTCGATTATGCCAGATTGTAGTTGATCTTGCATTACTTTATCATATTCTTGTAATTCCTCTTTATGGGACTGAAGTCGTGCTATTAGCATTCGCAAACGGCTGAAGCATAATCCATAATTATCGCTCAATTTGCCTTTGCATGGTTTCCATGGCCAACGTACTTCGTATCTTCCATTTTGTTCCATTTTGTTTAGTGATACTCTTCTTAAATTGTTACAGTGCCTGTTCATCATCTTGTGTATCAGATCGATCTTGGATGCCAATACAGTCCAACTTCCAAAATTGATCTATATCTAGGGCACGGTTTTCTTGAGATGTCTTCGTTGCAAAGATCTGGTGATGGCACAATTCATTTGTATAATCGCTTCCTGCTATGATAGGTCCAACTTTGCTGTTCAGTAAAATGAATCCTGACTTTAGTTGCTGAGCGTTTTCCATATGAATAAAGTTGAAGAAATAGTCAGCTCCTTTGTCTACCACTTCCATCACTTGAAGATCGTTTGTCAAATAATCCATTACAGTGGCTTGGATAGTCACTTGATCGGAGTTTCCCGTTTTCACTCCATACTCGAGGAGTCCTATTGCCAAAGGAAGAGATCTTATATTCTTCTTCATCAGTTTCTAGGAGATTTAGTCGATGAGCTAGCCTTTGTGAGATAAAGGTCGCATCTGCGCCGACGTCAAACAGTACTAAAGCTTGTACTTGATGTTCAGGTTTATCACGATTAAAAACACTAATTTCTCTACATAAAAGCAGTACTCGTTTCTTTTCAACTTTCTTAGTTGAATTAACAGATATGTTTGCATTTTTGGCAACAATTAGCATTTTCTTTAGATGTGATATATCTTTGGTAATTAATTTTACTAATATTTATATTTTATACATTATATTTGACAGATTTTTTAGTTCCTTTGTAAATATTTGCGTATTCCAAAAATTAAAGTTTCATTCTCATTTTAATGCAAAATACTTCAAAGTAAAGTAAATATTTGAAATGTAATAAACGTAAAAGCATTTTAAAGTAAAAATTTTAGAAAGTCAACAGAAGAAAGAAAATTGTATAAAAATTTGATGTCTAATAATTTTTTATTTTTTCAGAAAATTGGAATAAAATAAATTTGAAATGAAAAATGAAATATTATTTAAAAATTATTTTTGAATTATCAACAAATTAAATTAATCTACCAATTGATGTTTTTATTTTCACAAATTGTAGGAATTTTATATATGCATTGATTAAATTGCAAAATAATAAATTTTATATTATTCTTTGAAATATTTTTAATTTATTGAACATTTTAATTTTTTAATTAATATCACAACAAAAAAAAATTTTTTTTTTGAACTTTGAAATATTATTATTATCAAAATTAATACAATTCATTTGTTTATATCCATAGGTTATACTAATTAAAACAAGTAAATAAAATATATTTTTCTTAAAAAAAATTAACTACAAACTTTCAATTAATAATATTATAAGAAAAAATACTAAATAAATAAATAAAATATAAATATTAGAAAATTGGAAATGAAAAAAAAAAATTAATAATAAATCAAAAAAAATGAATAATTAACATTGGATAAATTAATCAGTGAAACATTTAAAAGTATTTTTTTTTTACATATAGAAGAAAAATAAATAAATAAAATAAATAAAACATTAAATATTATGAAAAATAAATTTTAGTAATTATATATATATATATATATATATATATATATAAAATGACTAAAAAATCCTTTTCTAATTTAAGAAGTAAGTATAAAACTTTAAACTTTAATTTCTGCTTTTGAAATAAAAATAATTTAATTGAAATTGGTGTGGAATAAATGAAAGTAGGAAAATTAATTGCATTAAAACAAAATGGAATAAAAATAAAAATGAAATGAATTTCTAATATATAATGTGTTCATTAGGATAAAAAAAATAAAACGACAGAAGTATTAATTAACAGAAATAAATCTTTGATTATTTGTTAAAATGAATCATTGATTAACAATTTTTAATTTCATTTAATTTTTTTTTTTATTTCAATTATTTTGTGTCAACTTTGCGAATAATTTCAATGTTTATTTATCAAACAAATGAATAAATGGAACTAAAGTAAATTAATTGAATTAAAATGAAGTCGGAGAAGAAATAAAAATAAATGTAGCTAATATTATTTAGTCTAAATTAATCAACTACCAACTGATAAGTATAATAACTGTTCAAGATGCTTTTAATTTTATTCAAATTTAATCACACCTGTTCTAATTTTCTCATTGTTTTACACTTTATTATTATTCTCTTATAAATAAGATTACAATAAACTTATTATCACATTATAGCATACATTAATAAACCTATAAATAAAAAGAGAAAAAAAATTACAATCAAAAAATTTCACTAGCTAACAAGTTTCATTTATTTCTAACATTTTAGAATGAAATAATCCATAACTAATTGACTATTATTTAAGTAATCATTAGTGGAATAATGCAAAGTAAAAAATTCAAATCATTTTATTGCCAAATTTTCAATCCATCCATGAGATTTCATCTAATTCATCGATTGAAACATTCTATAACAAGATAAGTGATGCTTAAATTGATTACAAATTAATTTCTTACATCAGAATTACTAACATATCATCATGCTTTTTTCCATCATTTTCAACAGGAAACTGTATAATGATAAAAGGCAGAAGGTAGGTATGGTATAGATTAGATAACAAAACAATTTACTACATAAATAATATATACAAAAAGTATCACTTAAAAATCTATTTTGAGATCATTGGAATTAGCATATCCAAAAAAAAAAAAAAAGAATTGTGTTCAGTGAAAATTGATAATTTACAAATTTAATTCATTTTAACAATCCTAATGAAAAAAAAAATGTATATAAATAAACATTTCAGGGAATGATCAAAGACTGCATCAAACTTTTTGAGCAGAATATGTGGTAGAATACATAAATAATAATAATAAAAAATGGCAAGAAGATTATCGGAATCGCATTCTGAATAATATAAACATCTGAAAGAGCATAATTCCTTCATTGTTTAAATATTACTCTGTTGAAATAAAAATTGAAAATAGAACTAAACAATAGATTATCAGGCACAGTTGCTCTCGTCAACATGATTGATCGATAAGTCCGAACTGTAAAGTGCATGAGTTAAACGATGCCAAGATGCATTTGTGGATGTACTTGTTGTCAAACATTTTTTCAAATTCTGACCGAACCGATTCTTCTGTTCCCGTTCGCGATTTTGTGACAAAGAAAGCGCACTTCTGATGAGCTTTGGCCATCTACAAGTATTTAAAATTTAAAGCTTCATTAATTTCTTCCTAAATTATTTGTGTCAATTGATAACAAATAAAAATCATGAAACCAAAAATTTCAACTATTGTTTATTTAGATTCTATTACAATTGGAATATATGTACCAACTCTGTACGTACTTCGACATTTTGCATTTCTCCAAAATTAACGGACTACAAACATCTGACATCTCTGTATTATCAACTGAATATATACCAGCTTCATAAGAAAGCGGACGTTTTCTAAAATATTAACCATAAATTATTCGCTTATTCTTTACTCACAAAATACTTTATAATCTATATATATATATATATATAATTCATTCTATAACTTAAAATGATTCAAATCAATCAGTCCTATTATAAAATAGTCTTTTATTAAAGTTTATTGTTCATTTTATCTCATAAAATTTCATCGTTTATCGTTTACTTATATACACTAGAAACATATATTTCTCTCCGTAATTCTTTCATATTTTTTTCGACATAAATGAATAAATAAATAAATCAGAGACCTCTAAAGTTGATTATAATAAAAGAAGTCGCTTAATTAAGCTCACCTTGACATAAAACTACCACAGAAAGATTGCATCATGCCATCACTTCTAAGATATTTCATATTGTCAGATTTTTGCATCGTATTTATTTCTGCATTTTCTGCATCTTCCAGTTGTTGACTACATGCATCATTATATGGCAAGGAAGATGACCGTCTATAAAAATTCTCATAGTTATATTATCCAGTAGAAAAATTAAAAAAAAAAAAAAATAAAAAAAAAAAAACCGTGAATGTTGTGGTAGAATGCTGATTCTTAGTAGATACTGCATATTATATTATATAATTGTGACAAATAAACTGAAGAATTTGTCAATGAACCATCCATAACTTATCTTTTGAATTATCTTTTGATCTTATTCAAGTGCATATAAATAAACGAGGTAAATAGTTGGTTTTAAGTAAGTTTTAAGTAACTCTTTTCCGCCTAAAAGTTATTGCATACATACGTATAATGTTGCATATTTTCAATGACATACCAGGCAATAGTAATTCTTCCTTTCAAATAGTTATAGCATATGACTCTACTCTAATGAAGATAATTACAATTCGGACACTTTTTTTTTCCCTCCCGATAATCTCCTGATAATGTAAGACATCGAGGTAAATCTCAAGTATAACTATATCTGATCCTAGCTACACAACATACATTATCAGTTTCTTTATTATGATTTTATTTTATTCGTCTAAATTCATCAACTATGACACTTCTCATTAATTTATTATTATTGGCAACACGTTGATATGATTACTAAATTACCACCAAACATCCAATGAATTTAACAATTCTAAACTAGAAAGTAACATGAGTAAATTGGATAATAGTGATAACTAATTGTCATTGTGTTGTACATTTAAATTAACTAACTAATTAATTAATTAATTAAATATATATAAATCACCTGTAAGGAAGAATCGAACACGTCATTTGTGGTCTCTTGCTATTAACACTACTACTCTCATCGATATAGCCGCTGCAAAATTCCAAGTTATCATTACGTAGAAACGTAGCACGTTCAATGATACGACGTAATAATGATGGCTCTTTTCCTGCCAAAGAAATAGATGATCCTTTGCTGATTGCTGTAAAAAGAGTTAAATATATCCGGAATCCATTTATATTCCTTTTCGCTATGATGTGAAACAATATTATATGAGAAAAATCGATCCTCAAATTTATGTAAAATAAAAATAAAAATCAATTTTGATGATATCATTTCTATGATTAAACGAACAATAAGAATAGTAATATAATTATATAAAACATACATAATATATCATAGAAATATGATCATTCCAACCTACATATAGTAAGAAATAAATCACAAAAGATATTCTTACAATAAATTATACGTACCCGAAGTGGAAAGTCTTCTATTTCGGACAGACATTCGTGGGAAAATATTCGGCGCCAACTTTTCGTCTAACAACAGCTCACATTCATCCTTTATTGCAAATGTTACATTTCTACGAGATGTTAACCAATATGTAGTCATTAATCCTTTACCCTAAAAATGTTACATAATTAGTATTCATCATTCCTCTACAAAAAAAAAAAAAAACAAATTAGGAAAATATATAAACTTGCGAATCAAATTTCCAAATTCATTCATCTAATAGTAAAAAAATTATTAATCAAGTGAAAAAAAATTTTTTTTTCAAACTCAATATTATTAGTAATCGATGTAATCAACCTTAATTTGCAGCGTTCCTCGTTTCTTCAATTCAAAACCATCAATCCTTG